CTTTCCCTAACCTGAGTCCGTGCTCGCGGCTCCTCTCTCTCATGCTCCCTGGCAGTGTTGCTCAATCCCTGGATAGGTCTGACTTATCTAAAAATCTCAGTCTTTCCAGCCCCTGCATCCTCCGCCTTTCACATTCACATCGTGTTGAGCAATTGTTCCACACACCCAAGAGCCAGAGGGCTAAACCTACTAGCCAGAGACCGTGTGCTGGGCCACACCTAGGTGAGGAACCCGTTTCTGTGCCCCCTTCCTTCCCAGGCTGCTTGTGAGAAGGCGAATGTGCTGTTCCACCCTGTCTCTCCCCAGCAACAGCCTTGATTTTGCAATGGAGGTGGTGACTGCTAATCTGTCTCCCTAATGACTTTGCCAGTAATTCCCCTTGTGCCACTTCTCTCCCCAGCAGCACTGAGGAAGCTGACTTTGGTTTCGCTGCCTCCCAGAGCCGTCACAGGGGCAGCAATCAAATTGACAAGGCGTGGTTTGGTTTTCACTCTGCCAAGGCCTTGGAGATCTGGGACTGCACTGCTTGCCCTCAGCTCACCTTGGCAGGGTTATCCTCGCAATCACAGGGCCAAAGTGAAAGCTTGGATTCTCCGGCGGCACTCACCTGGAAAGGTGCCTGCCCGCAGCATAGAGATTTGCCCTGCCCATTGCAGAGACCCGAAAGCTTTTAATAGAAATGCTTGACAGCTGGAAGAGGTAGTTGGGCCCTCACTCAGTGGTATCTCCTGCACGTTGCTTGGTAGGGGAAAGCAGAAGGTAATAGGGTGGAAATCGGATCGCCAGGGTTTCAGATAAGGAGAGCGTAATTCTTAATGAGCGTAATTGAATCTTGCCACCTGTCTCAGCCCGTTGACAGGTAAATTACATCCATGCCCAGCGGGGTGGTTTCCAGCGGAGTAGTGGGTGTCTCCATCAATCTCTTACCTAAAAATATACGTGGATGTAGCCCTTGGTCCAAAACAAACCACATCAGCACAGCAAAACGTGGCATTAGCAGTGACCGTCTTTTGGAAAGCTTGTCAGTGGAGGCAGTTCAATCCTCAGCCAGAATTCAGATTGGAAGGGGCTCTGTGAACTACCCGCTGTCACTGCTCCTTGAGCTGCAGGGCTCAGCCCATGCACTCTCATGCAAATCGGTGCCACCAGCCCTGAGTTTACTTCTGATTTGGCCGCTTAGCACAATTTAGATAGGCAGGAACTGGCAGGGAGCTGAGCAACATCTGGTGCAAGAGCTATGGCATCCCTCACCTTGAATGGCTTGGCAAGCATAGGGAGCAGCACAAGGAAGAGCCTGCACCCCCAAAGCACTGCTGAAAGGGTAGCTGGCCCAAACCACTGTGTGGAGATCTCTTTGATTTGAAAGACTAGGGTGTCAGGCCGATCTGAGCCTGTAGACCCCAAATGCTGTGGCAAGGGCTGTCTCTAAAGAGCAAACAACTTGTCTGAAGCCAAATACCCCGTGGATGCTGGAGCCAAGGTTAGCGCCCAGGACCAGCTGGCTGTGAGTCCTGCGCTTGCTTCCCTGGGTTTTGCTGCATGCCCTGGCTGGCTGCACTGGAAATGCTGAATGCCTGTCATGTAGACACCAGCGGTTGGGCAGAGCTCGTTGGAAGAGCATCGGGGCTGCGTCAGAGAAGGCGTTGTGGTGCGACTCCTTGTTCAGCCCACAGCTCGCTGTTTGGAGTCAGACGGGCGGTCGTGTTTGGTCGGGTTTGTCACCATTGATGGTGCTGCTGAAAGGTTGCTCTGTCTCTGTTTTAAGATGGATGGTGTCAAACAAAAACTCGGCTGAGTGCCCTGGCTCTGGCTCGCAGGGCGGAATATCCCTGTACCTATAGTAAACCTGAGGCGGTGCCACGGGAGCTCGTACACACCTGTAAAGCTGCAGTCTGACCTCACCCAGCTTACCCATCTTGGAGCAGCATGGCCTGGGGCAGCTTTTACTTCATTGCACGGAGCTGGCTGCCTTTGGTCATTAACTCTGCCATGATGGCGTAAATGATAGGAGGATTTGGCCCTGTAACGAGCGCCGAGTTAAGTGTTGTCTGCGAGCCAAAACAGGCTTCAGCACTGTTTCCTGCCCGGAGCTGTGTAATAGTTTTTACTCTGAAACGTACTTAAAGATTTGACTTCAACTTCAAGGGAGAGCGGAGCTGGTGAGCACAAGTGTGTGCATGGGGGTGGTGTTTGCAAAGCTGTCCCCTGCCACAGTTCAGGAGACTGTTTGGAAATACAGTGCCTTAACAAACCACCTGTACGCAGCAATGCGTCCTCGGTTTGGGGAGCGTGTGCCTACGAGAACCACAGCTTTCTTCCAAAAGGCTCGTCCTGCAGAAGGTTTGCCTGGCTTGCAATGCAGCGGCTGAATTGCGTCAGTGAGCAACCTGAGTTGTAAAAAAAAGTTGATTAGCAAAGATCCCATCCAACCGGCTAAACAGCTGAGTCACAAAACTGCTGAAACATCCAGTTCAGATTCTGTGGAGCCGAGCTGGTCGCTGTAGGATCCACCTGGGCTGGCCCAGCCACATCAGACAGGGAGCAGAGGGGCAGGGAGAGCGTGAGTTACCCACAGATGCGTGGGAAGCTTGCACAAGTGCCAGGAAGAGACTCCCGATCAGGCTACTCTAGTGCTTTAACCCTCCAGCTCCTCACTCCCTAGGTCATCAGTCCTGGATAGTGAACTTCAGGACCTTTCAGGTGCCCTGTCCTCGCTTATCCCACTAGGAGCTGGACTTTGTTGGGATACTGGTGTGAGAAGGGAGCTTGCTAAATCTGTCTCGTCTGAAGCTGTTCATTTACGTTGTTACTCCAAGGAGTTTCTAACTCCCCCCCTCCAGATTCCTGTCCTTCTAGCCCCAGCTAAATCCCTGGAACAGCCTTTTCAGCTTCAAACACCCAACAGAGCCAGGAGTGGAAACAGTAGTAGCCCCCCTGGATTTTACCTGATGAGTACCCATGCATGCACAGAGTAATGCAAGGGCTTGTCTACATTTGAGAGTTAGCTCGGATTACAATAGAGGGCAGATGCCCTGGAGTGGGTCTCACACTTTATAACTGTACGGACAAGCCTGTACATCCTGGTGTCACTGGGTAGGGGTGTTTGGCATTGGGAGAAAGTGTTAGGTGCCTTGTTCTGCTGTTTAAGCTACAAGCTCCTTGAGCATCCAGTACTGCACAGACTGGATGTGGGACTGACTTGCCTTCTCGCCTTCAGGTTTCTCTGGACTCTCTTCCCAAACTGAAATAAGAAAGAGTTGGATCTTCCTGCAAGTAGTGTAAAAACTGCCATTAGCGAGGCAGCCAGCACGGGACAATGAGCTCGTTCTGGGGAGCTGCAGCGTAACTGAGCTGGAGCTGGTAAAGTGGGAATAGGAAATCCTGTTGCATCTGCAGGACAGGCCGTGAGCTGATTATTTTCATGGCTGGGCTGCTGCAGTTGGTGTCTTAAAAAAACCTCCGGCAGCAAGATGCTTATGAGATACTAGAAGACATGATCCACATCCTGAAGACAATTAGGATTATCTCCCTGTGGCTGTCAACGATTGCTGCTGCCTTCTGGACAGCCCCAGCCCTTCTCCGCCAGTGTTTCTGGTGGAGTGGAGCCACAGGTGGGTGTTAGCAAAATAGCAGGTTGGAGGCAGAGCCACATCCCAGCCCCACAGAGGCATCTGCAAGGAGACCCCTGGTCCCCCCGATGTATGCTCAGTGCAGCAGGCCAGATGCCCCTTTTCTGGCCTGTCTACCCCTGGCTGTGTGGAGTCTCCCTCCCGGTTTTCCCCTAGAGTTGATTCCTAGACAGAGCACATCCTTCTGCATCCCTGCCCCGCTCCTGCTTTTCCTTTCTCAGTTGCTTTCCTGAAGTCAATGACTGAAATTCTTCCTCCGCTTCTGTCCCGTCTCCCTGTCTGATGCCTCCTCTCTGGCTTTCAGCCTAAAGGGTTGAAAACAAGCCTTGCTCCTTCTGTCCATAGAGCATCCAGCACAGTGATGCCCTGTTTCTGGCTGGAGCCAACGGGCTCTACAGTAACATACAGAGTAAGTCACATCAATCCGTGCGCTCTGGGTCCAGGGTAGGTCAGCTGCCTTCTGCTAGACCCGGTTGTCTGCATGCCTGGTTCTCCCAGGCTACAGGCTAGTAGGATTTCCCTACCCCATTCATAGACTCCATCTGTGGCGGGGGTCTCGGGACATAACTTGCTGCTTCTGTACATAGTCTTCCCGACCCCCTGGGTATAATGGTGTGGGGGATGCAGTGCTAGCAGGGAGGATGTCATAGCAAATGCCCTGAATCCGGGTGTGGGGAAGTTGCCTGCCTTTGGTTTCTCTTCCTCTTAGGACAAAGTGTTGATGCTGATCTGGGCAAACCCAGAGCACCGAATCAACTCCCTCCTCACAGTGTGATGTCAGATAGCATTTCTCAGGCCACGTCCATCCCTCCAATGTACGGAAGGAATCTGTTGCTCCACGAAACATCCGCGTAAGACAATAGCTAGCGCTGTTGTGCTGCGAGAGCCGTGCAGAGTGGCTCTGTCTCCACAATGTCTGCCTCTATGTTGGCATTCCCATGCAAAAGCCCCCTCACCCAAGCCAAGCACAGTGCCTGTCTTGGCTGCCAGCCGGTGCAAATGACTTGCCCTATTTCTCAACCAAGATGCATTAATCTTAGCAACTTTAATTGGAAAAGTAATAGGGCAGTAAGTTGACAGCCCTGGGAGATGGGTAAAGCCGTGAGATGGGGTGGAATTGATTCCCACAGTACACGTACCCTGGCGGTGCTGCGTGCTCGGCTGTGGCTGGCAAGGTGTCCAGTCGCCCGCGCTCTGCTGCGTGTCGCTGTTCTCTCTAACTCCTTGCTGAAGCAAGATGTTCTGGGACAAGTGCGAAGAAGTCCTCTCCTATCTCGGGATGTAACTCCAGCAGACCTTGCAGGGGCAGCAGCAGTGCACGCCGCCTTCACCCCCTCCTCAGGATGGATGCGCTCCCACCCGTGGCCTGGTGGGAGCACCTGGCCAGGTCAGAGATGGCCCATTGTGGTCCTTTGTGGCCTCTCTGTGCTGCTGGGTTTCCCTTCCCTGCACGGTGCCTCTGTTAGTGTCTGTTATACCCACAGCCCCATCAGGGGGTCGTAGTGAATCCAGGCCCATGACCTATGCCATGGCTGTCTCCTGGATCCAGGTGTTCCCACCAGCCTGCTGCCGGTGCAGATGGGGCTCTGGATTTCTCTTAAAAGCACATTTGGAAAACTGGGGGAATTTGGGAAGCCAATTTAAACACGTCAATTAACAGTAGGTGGAGTTGTCCTGCCCTTAACTGAGACCTAAGGGAGGAAGCTCTGCAGAGACCTGTCTCATCCCCAGCTTGACTTCATCTTTTCTGCTTAAAAGGTGGTGAGGTGGGCACTAAGCTAAGGTAGAATCGGTCTCAAGAGAAGGCTGTGTGTCCAGTTTTACCATCAGACCAGTGTCCAGCAGGACTGTAGAGCTGAGCCTGTCTAGTTTACCTGGTAGGAAAGTGAAAAACACACAGTGAAGGCGCTTATCCCAGAATAACTCATGTGTCAGCTCCCCCAAGGTTAAACACTGCTTCCTGCGGGTCCACAAGGCCATGCTTATTAAAAGCCAGTGGACTGGGAGGTCCAGTTCTTGATCAAGATGTTCTGGATGGGACACGTGTAAGCTTTCTAAGTGCCTGAGTAGGGTGAGAAGTGACGCTGAGGCTAGGGAGGCTGTAAGGGGAGGGTGGTACAGATTCCCTGCCTGTTCTGCCCTCATTGCCCCTTTAATAATTTAGTACTGGCTGCTGGGATGCAAAAGTGAATGGGCTTCTCTGTTCAGTGCTTTGAAAAAGATAGCAAGTGTTTGCTCCGTGTGGTCACCGGGTGCCTTCACGAGCAACCTCCCTTCTAGCTTTTCTGTTTCTAGAGACTTAATGCTTAAAACCAAGAAGAGAAACGAGCTGAGCAGACCCTTTTCAGCCCGGCTCTGTTTGTGCACGTGGGACGTTCTGCAGCTGATGCCTGTTGCCTGCAGTTCAAAGGAAGCCAGTCGGCTCCTCTGATTCAGGGGTCTCCGGCATTAGGAGCCAGCCGTTTCTGTGGGCCGTGCTGATAAAAGCTTTCTTTTCTTTTTTCCTAGACTGCCTTGGGGCACCGATCGTGTATGCACCAGTCAAAGCAGATCTCTCTGGAAACATCAAGGTAGGAAGAGGCTGGCAGATCTAAAATGCTGAGCTCTGGCAGTGTGTACACTCTGTCCTTCCCGTTCCCCCACCCACAGGTTAATGGCTGTGTCTGCTACAGCTGATCCTGCACTGGGGGAAATCAGGAAATCTGTGGTGAATTCCTTGCAAAGGAAGTCACTGTTCAAATGAAAAGCTATGACTCAAGGAGGCAATAGGAAATGATCACCCCCTTTCCTCCTTTCCTTCCCCCCGACCCAAAAAATCTCCTGCTGCATGCCGTTCAAGGGTTTCTTCTAAATCCCAAGCTGCACAGATAGATTCAGGCCTGACTGACACTTGCCACTGGTTTTATCCCCGCACATTGCGTCCTTGCTTCAGTTGGTTGCTGGTGCCTGAGCTCACATGCAGCCCACGTAGCCTAGGACATCAAGACTAATGCTGCTAGAGGAGCTCCAGGCTGTGCCTTCAGCAAGCCTGGGAGTGTCTTTACTGCTTTACATCTTTGCAGCCATAAATTAGCAGTCTCTTCCTGAACAAGCATGGAGAGCTGCCGGTCTGTGACACTGGGCCCTGAGTGAACCTGCTTTTTGGCAATTTCGTCCTTGAATTTTGCCCATCTCTTGAGGGAAGGTGGAAGGAAGTAGGTGCATTTAGCTTGGAGAAAAGGAGGTTAGCAGGGCACATGAGTCTTCAAATATGTGAAAGGCAGCCACAAAGATGGCAAAATATTGTTGTCCCTTGCCTCGTGCAGGACGCAAGGAAGTGGGCTTAGACTGCAGCAAAGCAGCTTCCCATCAAATCTCAGGAAAAAACTTCCCGACTGTAAGAGCAGGACGAGAGTGGAGCCAGCAGCCCAGGGAAGCGGTGGAATCTCCTTCACTAAGAAGTCTCCAAGCTGAGCCTGGATGGGCATCTTTTGCAGTGCCCCCTGCATCTCTCAAGAGGGTTAGGCAGGGTGATACTTGGGGTCCTTCCCACCTGGGATTCTCTCGGTGGTGCTCTAGTCGAGGACTTAAGCTATTCTCCCATTCGGCAGTGCTGCTGCACTTCTGTAAGCCGACCCAAACAAGAGTGCAGGGGTCAGTCAGCGCGCTCATCATAACCTGCACCCCCATCCTCTCCTCCCAGCGGCCTGACATTATGCTCTCTGGTTGCTTTCAGAAAATCCGAGCAGTGTATGAATCCAATCCTGCCAAGTTCAAAACGCTGCAGAACATTCTGGAAGTGGAGAAGGAAATGTATGGATCGGCATGGCCAAAGACTGGCGCAACGCTGGCACTCATGTGGCTGAAAAGGTGACGTGTGGCTTCATGGGCCCTTCTCTAGCTCTCAGGCACTGGAGAGGGTCACCTGCTTACCTGTGCTGCTAATGCAGGAAATCCAGTCTTGGGCCACTGCTTTCGGGCTGGCCAGCTGGTTAGCTGTGCTTCTGGAGGCCTGAGCCCACTGATCTTCATGTAGGGAGACGTTATTGCTGGAAATGCTTGCAGAGAGAGAGCTTCGCAGGCTTTCTTCTTGCAGTCATAACTGTCCAAGGGTGCTGGATGTGTCTGATGAGATGAGCAGGCATTTAGTGTAGACCTCCCGCATGGTTAACGTGCTCCCTTCTTTGCAGGGGCCTGAAGTTCATACAGGTTCTGCTGCAGAGCATCTCTGATGGCGAGAGAGACGAGGCGAATCCGAACCACATCCGAGTCAATGCGATGAAGGCTTATGAAATCGCGCTGAAGAAGTATCATGGCTGGATGCTCCAGAAGCTCTTCACGGTCAGTGCTTGCCCCTCCAGGGCTTTCTGGACGCAGCTTGGTTCAGCGCCTAGATATCATGGTTACGGGCACTCCAAATACCTTCGTCTGTCTTCAGAACTTGGGGCTGAAGGTTCATCTGCCTCTTCTCCTAGGTTTGGGGGCCTAGAGTTTCTGCAGTGACTAGGGATTTGGAAGCCCAGCAAGGCTCTGGTTTTGTTTCCAGGAAGTCCCGGTCTTCCCAAACCCCGCTCCCATACAGTGATGTCTGTCAGGCCCTCCGAGCCAGCAGTCGCTCTTGGAAACTCTGGCCAGTTCCCACCGTGACGGAGCCCCAACAGCCCTTGAGCTGGAAGCCTGGATCCCAAGGGATCCGCATTCATGGTAGCCTTTGGGGCTTGTCGTGCAATCCTAACAGGCTCCTTCCCTCTGGAAGACTTACCCTCTGGTCCAGGAACTTGGTCATCTTTGCAGAGCCAAGGCTTGAGCAAAAGTGCCCTTGTGTGTTCATGAGCAGTGTGTAAACGGTGCTAAAGGAGCATGGGAGGATGGGGAGGTGGCTGAGGGCTGGTCCCTGGGGGGTGCTGGGACAAGCACAGTGAATTCAGGAGCTCTTATGCACACAGAGTGTTTCTGGCTGGGCTCTTGGACCTGGGGATTTCCTCACCAGTAAGACAACCGGGGCGGCTTGGTCTCTTTCCCTTCTTTTAGGGCTCAGTCTATGCTCTTCCATACAAGTCGGACTTGCTGAAGGCTCTAGAGAAGGGCAAAGAAGTGAATGAGGAAGAGAGTCTAGAGAAGATCCATCAGTTCCTAGCAAAAGCCACCCCTATTCTGGATGCAATTTATGACATGTATATAAAAATGAATGCAGAACTGAACTACAAAGCTTAACCTTTGCACTGGACTCCTGCAGCCAAGAACAACAATGCTCCCAAAATTTTAATCCGTGGGAGCACTAGGCTTGTTTCCATTCATCAAGTGACTTTAATTCTTGGCATGGATATGCAGGACATAACTTGGGGGCGGTTCTTTTAAAAAAAAAAAAAAAAGAATAGTTTTCTTTAGAAACGGAGCAATATAATACAACGATCATTTCCCAGATCTTGGAACTTGACACACTTTTGTACCAACTGGAGAATGGTAAAACTATTTCTAGTCTTTATCTAATTGTTTTCTTGAAAATATGTCTGGGGAAATGAGATATCATTGGCAATGTATAGCTGATGCTATTTTTCTGGCTTTACCTCAGTTTTTGGTAAGAATGTGTCCTTCCACGAGTGCTGTATTTTGAGATGCGGTGATGCGCTTGGGCTACAATGGCAGCAGATGCCACGTGCTAAGAGTAGTGGTGTGAACGCCGTTCTTGTAGCATAGCTTGACTGGACGCCTGGCCACGGTAAGAGCCTTTCACAAGAATGCCAGAAAGGTGTTTGCAACAAAACCAGCCTTCAGTGACTTTCCCAAATGACATTTTTAATCTTTTAGTAATTGCAGGGGGTTTTATGTTTTTTATCTTCCTATGGGAAGAGTTTCTTCTGGATAACTAACTTGAAACTATCTGTAATTTTGTAAATCTTTTAATTCTTGCTCCTGAGACAAAAAAAAAAAGCCTTAATAGTAATTTATGGCAGAGTTGGGCTTTATTTTAAGGTAACGGGAGTGGGGAAGTAGACTGAAATAAATGTTGGAAACTAAACCTTCACTTTGGGGTGCTCTTTGTTGTGATATTCTCTGTCTTCCCCTCTTACTATTTGAGGTGTGATGTATAAAAGGCTCTTCAGCACTGACCGACCATTTGCCGTGCCAACTCGAAGCTTCGCCTTGCAAACCTGGAGAGCCGGGATGTGCAGTTCAGGGCTTTGCAGTCACTGGATGAGGGACGACTCTACTCCGAACGCAGCGGCCTTGTACTTCGCCGCCAGATGGGGCTCTCGGCTGTTTCTCGAGTCCAAGCTAAGCCAACCCATTCATCCCATTTCCTACTTAAACCTGAGTTATTGATCTCCCTGCCTCTGAGCTCTTGAACTGCGGGTGGTTTTGAAGGGCAGAATAATGGGAGTAGCTGCAGAGGGGCTGGTTCACAGCCTCGTACAACATCCCACGGCCGCCCCTGCCTGTGTCCTTCTTGGAACATTTTAACTGCCGAAAACTTGGTACAAAGTGTGAGCTTGTTTCTGGAATATTTCCAGGGAGATGCCTTACGTGTGACTCATGTCAGCAGGGTACTCTTTCTTAATCAAAAACTAGTTTCTGCTTTCTTTTTCCCGACTATATGCTCGGTGTTAAAAGGAAAAAAGGTTGGTTACAATCTGGCCAATGCACATTTGATCTCTGCTTGACACCTTAGAGGTGCTCGGGGCTGGGATCTTTCAGTGACGGTCTTCAACGAGCCAAGCGGTAGAAAGGAAGGGGCCGGCGGTACCCGTACAAGCTCCTGGCACACCGCATTCGAACACCCAGAGGTCCGTGCCGACGCTCCTGGTCCTTTAGTGCCGCAGACGGAAGGATCCCCCGTGGTCCTTGGCGTTTCTCCACTTGCAAACAGAGGGTGCAGCGGGCGGCAGACGCTCGGCAGCTGGAAGCTTCTCCGGCAGCGATGTGCCGCGTGCCCAGCCCCGTAGGTTGTCTGCCGGGTGTATAAATAGTGATCTTGTGGTTCCAGTGTTTCTTTACACTGCTGGAGGAGGCTCGGGGAGGCCCGGCGTGTTTGTCTGTTGCAGCGGTGACCCTGCCTTGCAGCGGGAGGGGGTTTGCGTGGCCCACCGCCGGACCGCCACGCACCCCGTCGGACACCGGGCCCTGAGCTAGAGCGCGGCCGCAGCTACCGGCCCGGAGAAAACACGTCTCGGACGCGGTGCCGGGTGTGCCCAGCCTCTGCTGGGGCAAGGGGTGGTGTGACCGCCGGCCGGGGCCAGAGGTGGCCCCTCCGCACCCCTCGCCCGGGGAAGAGCGAACAGATGCCCTGCCCCACATGTGTGCCACAAGGGGGGGTGTGACTCCCGGGTGTGTGCGTGTGTGTGTGTGTGCAGGACCCTGAGGTGTGTGTGTGAGACCCCCACAGGTGTGTGCCACAAGGTGTGTGTGTGGGGGACCCCCCATGTGTGTGTGCGAGACCCCCCACGTGTGTGCCACAAGGGGGGGGGTGTGTGCGAGACCCCTGTGTGTGTCACAAGGGGGGGTGGGATCCTGAGGTGTGTGTGTGAGACCCCCACAGGTGTGTGCCACAAGGTGTGTGTGTGGGGGACCCCCATGTGTGTGTGCAAGCCCCCCCACATGTGTGCCACAAGGGGGGGTGTGACTCCCGGGTGTGTGCGTGTGTGTGTGTGTGCAGGACCCTGAGGTGTGTGTGTGAGACCCCCACAGGTGTGTGCCACAAGGTGTGTGTG